TGCATTGTGGAACCTGGCCTTGGGGCGGCAGGGAGAGTAAATCTGGCCCTGAGCACATGACCTCACACATGGACATAATTTCCTACAGATACCTTACAAAATCTTGTGGAAAGCCTTTCTAGAAGAATGGTGGTTGGTATAGCGGCAAAGGGAACGGGGCAACTCCATGGTTTTGGAATGGGACGTCCAACAAGCCTGTAGAGGTGTGATGGTCAGTGCACAGAGCTCTGACTTCAAACCTAATGAACATTGAATTGGAATGTGGATTGGGATGAATTAGAACACAGCATGTCAGATATGACATAGAGATCACATGGAGGCTGGAACATTATTTGAGAGAATAATCCTTCAGCCTGTAGATGACTGCAAATGCCAGAAGGTGGCAGAGTTAATCTGTTTAATACTGTAACTGTCCAATACAATTACAGAATTATTAATAATAATATAGGTTGAACTTGATGGAGTTGTGTCTCTTTTCAACCTGACTAACTATGTAACTATGTAATAAATTTGGTGCATGTGTTGGCCTTTAATAAGAAAAAAAATAAAAATAAACCATGTTTTTATGAAAAGACTGGCCCTTAAAACAATATAAAAATATTTTAATATGCCAAATGATAGGCCAGTAATGGAGTTATTGTTAGCCAACTCAAGCTTTAAATTTGGCCCGGGAATTTAGTCATCAATGTCCTCTGGTCGCAACAGGGTTAATCTGACTTTTATCCAGAATTGATGAAGACATAAGGGATGGGAATAGGAGAACATTGTGCCCTTTGTTCAGTTATTGTCCACTCAAAATGATATGTGAGGTAAAACCCGGACTTATTTTGCAGGAGAGAAGTACACAAAGAACAGAAAAACAATACACAACACAATGCAGAAAGCGTTGTGGATAAATGAGGGCGTGCGAAGCTTAGCTGAGACAATATCCTGCAATTACTATATATTGCAAAGCTTTATTGTCGTCCTAGATGTTTAAAATACCTCTATATTAGCTGTCCTGGAATTCGTGCCTAGCCTTCCAGCAACATATTGGATTTTGATTAAACTTGTACCTGGACCCATGTGACATAAAATCACATCAAACAGCATCTATAAAGACATCCTACACAATTACAGGAACCATTCTCTTATGTGTCATAGGTTGTTTTTTTTTTCTTATTTCCTTGCTGCCGAGTAAGTTTTTTCAGTCTCTGAATTTCTAATTTTAAAATATATATTTTTTTAATGTTATCATTTAATTTTTTTGCAGGCCTATTAAATAAAATGTCCAAATAACAATGTTCTGACCACGGGGGGTATCCGTAGGTGCTATTAATGTCTGAATTATTGAATAAAGTATCGGTTTTATAAAATATGTAGCTTAGTCTCCTTTTGATGTGAAATGCGTTAGCTGGAGATCAACATGCCAACACTCTGAGACAGCAGTCTTAGCACATTAGCAAAATATAGCATATCATGTAATAAGAATACCATATGCATTCCAGATGGCCTGATAATTCACGCTTCAAAGGCATCAACTGTAAAACGGTAGAAAAAAACCCCAAAAACCTGGCAATATACGACGGTGTCAGCTGCTAACGCTTTTCACATGTAATTCTGCAGCGGCATTAATGCTAAAGGCAGCAGGGTTTATCAAAGACACTACAGACACCACAATAGAGAGCTTTCCTGGAATATATCACAAGGCTGATAAATCTAAGTTACGACTCAGTCTGTATAAAGGAAAACCTAAAAGAATATGAAAGGTTTTTTTTCAGATTTAAAGGAGTTGTAAAGTCTCCTCTCTTGTGATGACATCAGCATTGTAATAGGAATACATATTAGAGTTGTTTTTGATCATAAAATCAAAGCTTACTTGAAAAAATCCTTTTTATGTAGTGAGTGCTGCCTTCTATCTGCCCATCACTTCCAACAACTTCCTGAATTCCCAGTGTGCTTTGTGTCTCTTTCTTGCTGCTTGATGTGATGCAATCTCCTTTTCTCAAGACTGCATATCCCATCATGCATTGCTCCCAGCAAGCAATGGTGATGTTACATTGTTCAGACGTTGAGTTGTGGTTGACAGTACATGTTCATAGAGCTGAGTGAACTCAAAGCACATGGTCACCTTCAATTGGACTATTAGTGTGCTATTCGTTTCGTTCCGAATCAAAATTCTGACACATTTTCCGAAATTCAGACATTCGGACACATTCCAATGCAACTCAATGTGTCTGAATCCAAATTTCCGTTTCCGAATTTCGTGTCCTGTCCGAATTTCGTTCTAAAACTAAACTGAATCGGACATGTGACTTTTCTGGCCAATGAGCTGTGTTTTTCGGTTTAATGCATCCAAATGGGTCTGAGCACAAATTTTCGTTACGGCAACATGGGAGACATATACAGGGTATACATATAATACTAAAGCTGAGGCTCCTAGACCCAAATGGCATTCAAGATCCGAAATTGCATTCGGGAGCTCTTGAATGTCATTCGGGTCTGGGAGCCATATACATATATTACATTACATTCGGGAACTGCATTTCCGAAT